CTGTTGTTTTCTAGCAGAGGGAAAATGCTTTGACAAAGAGGGTGGTTATTTTTAGCTACTGCTCCTCGTGAGAGACATGACCTAGTTTTCAGAAACTGACCCTCTCTGTTTCGCTTTCTTTCACTTTATTTATTTTTTTCCACTTTCCGCATACTGTGAAAGTCACACTTCACTGCATGTTCAGGTACTATAAAACATGGACTCAATGTCTGATGCCTTTTCTTTCCCTTTGCTGTCCCAGATCTTAACAGAGCTCAAGTCAGACAACCAGAGGCTAAAGGATGAGAACGGGGCACTCATTCGAGTCATCAGCAAACTGTCCAAATGAAAAGATGAGGAAGCTGGAGCTCCTGCTCTGTTTCTGTGGATGCCCCAACCTTGATACAGCAGTTTAATTATTCATGATGTACTCAGTTGTGATGATGGGCTGTTTTGGCTGTGCTGCAAAAATGAATTCCCCCCTGGGCTTATGGAGATGTAAAGAGAAGAACTTCCAAACATTTCACAGTGTGTGATGCAGTTATAATATTAGTTTCTACTTCACTAGTTATTGTTATTGTGCAAAATACAGTATTTCACATCAACTAAATAGGGACCATTTGTATTTTATTTCAAGGCCCAGTTCAAACAAATCAAGAGGTTTGCATGAAAATACTCTACCTAATATTATATACCCATGAATCGTATTAAGACATCAAGTATTTTGATGTAAACCCAAAATATTCCTTTCCATAAATCAATCAGTGACCTCACAGAAACAGCAGCCATGTTTTCCTACAGTTTTCTAAAGCAGCATATGGTCCAGTGTATCAGGGCCCTAAGATACACTCAGTACATTGCATTAAAACACCAAAACATTTCTTCATATCATTTTTGTGACATTTTAGTCCATAACATTTTGAATGTGACTTTATACTTATCTGCTAATTATTAGCTGTTTACCTGACATCTAATAGTTACCCAATTGTATTTGGCTATTTAAGGGGACTGTACTTTAGTCCTGAAAGACACTGGGTATATGCACTTTGTTCAGAAAGGGTGGTGTGATCTTTAAACACTTGGGTATCACTAGCTACACTGTATTGCCTTTAGATTGGTTCCATAATGTAAATTAATATTTTCCAGATTGTGTTCATCAGTTATTTGTGCTTTCAATAGCCATGCTTCCTTTTTGCGTTTTGGTTACACAGAAGAGACAATGAGTGTGTGTGGGGGGGGGAAAAAATGCACTATATTATAATTTGTAATAGAAATATATTTATTTATTTATGGATTTCTTTTAATCTTTATACATCATTTACTCATTTTTCTTTTCACTGAATACACCAGTTATTTTGATGTGTTACCCATCTTTAAGTGATGACAACACAAGTACCAAAATCATCCAGCGTTCCATGAACTGTATATCACAGCATCCACAATAATGTGTGACATTAAGAGTCAAGCAGGATCTGAAATTTTAAGAATAAACTGTTGCTACAACTTTTTAATATAGTGTGGGTTGCCTGAATTTTAACACAAGTGTGCTGTGCATATGCTATTGTGACAAAAAATAAATTATTCTCTAGATACACTGAGTTAATAGTTTTGTTTTATTTCCAATTTCTATAAAGCTGATCAGTTTCTGGTCATATGATGCCTTATTTACTGGTGCTACTGTGTTGTATTGCATTACATTTAAATGTTGGTCACTGTTTGAGGTTCACAAAATATTTGAAACATTAAAAATGTTCATAAATTAGTATATTTAAAATCATGAAAGAGGCTACTGTTTTGTTGTTGGTCCTTACGGAGCAATGTCACAGTGCCATCACCTTCATTTTATTCTAAAAGATTAGAGGGAAGGCAGATGAAGTAATCCGTAGGTCAAAACAGTGTGTTATTTACTTACCATAAAATATTTAATGAATAAAACTCCTAGACTTGACTTCATGTTTAGAATTCCTTTAGCTGCAGAGCTGCCGTCAGTGTCAGAGACATGAATGATTTTGGTGTCTGTCTTCTCTTCACTTAGAGGATGAGTTGACCAAAGTCCCCAGTGATGGCTTTGGAGTCCAACCAGGGGCAGTGTACTGCAACACCAGCGTTATCTTTGATTGAATCAAAACTACAAACAGTACAGTATACAGTATGTCTGCTATTTCTACATGTGCTGTAGACATATTGAACTATACAGAATATCGTATTGAAATGTGCTGATGAGAGCTGAATGTGCACATGTTGGTTCACTTACTGCTTAATAAACCGTAAAGTGCTTGGAAATGTTTCTCTGTGTTACATTAATATATAATGCATTAGAAGCAGAGAGATTATTAGGAGCCAGCTGAGTCAAACACTGCATATTAAACACAAATAGGTCATGGTAATTAAAAGGCCTTTATTTCCTATTTGTTTTTTACAGAACTGGTAACACATATGATAAATTTGTAGTAAGTTATTTGGTTCCCTTTATAACTTCATAAGGATCCTCGACATTTGTCCACATAAGGGTGAAGAGGAGTTTGTGAGCAACATTTGTGTCCAGTCAAGGGCTAAAGCATGCGATCCACAGTAGGCACAAGTACTGACATGAACACGCGCACCACGACACTAGACACGAAGAAACACAGCTAGAGGACACAACCTGGCTGTCCTCCGATGCTTAAAAGATGACAAGAAAGAGGTGAAAAATAAAAATATAAGTCTTGAGCGTTGCATCAGGGATGACAGGTGGAGCACTAAGCGCTGAACAGAGGCATTTGGTATGGTCCTGCATGTTTGCCAGTATACAGTAAGTTGTAAACATGAAGGCCGGCATATTTTACAGACAGAAAGAAGATTCACCGGAGAACTCAATGAGCCTGCTTCCTATTCAGGACAATGATACTGATGATACATAGCTGGTTACACATAAACAAGACAAAGACAAACAAAGAGCAAATGTGACAGAGCACGGGGACACATCTCTGGCACTGACTCAAGCACAGTCCTACATTCTATATCAGTTTATATCATGAAAACATAAGAGACAGAAGGAGTGATTACACATATGCACAACAATACAAAGGAGAAATACAGCAGATAATAGAGATGACAAGAAAACATTTTTGAAAGTGATGTGTTTACCCACTGAGAGGCTTCTCAACACATTTTGACAAGGTGGTAAATGAGTTAGTGAAGTTTGAATGGTTTCCCTTTTTCAGTCCCTGCTTTCTGTTAAAAAAAACCTCGATTAGCTGTGTGAACAGTGCTCTAACAGTCTATGCACAGCCAAAACAGCACACAGCTCCAGATGCAGTTGTGCATAATGTATTTTACATCTACACAGCTATCAACAGAACACATTCCCCATATTCCCATATTCCCAATCCCCATATTCAAAAGATAATTAATATTGTTAGCGCATCACAGTCATACACAAATATTTACATTCAGCAAGTAACATGTCCCATCATGCAGACCTGTACTGTATATTGTAATCATATATTCCAGTGCTGTGTTTTTGCATCATGTCTGCTAAAGGACCTACACCTGATCAGTATATCCCACACACACACACACATACACACACACTTCCCAATCTCTGTCCCCCATAGAACTTAAATGCCCAGTGGTCATGTGACAGCGGTGACCCAAGTGATGAAAGGAAAGAAAATCAAAAATAAATGTTTTAAGTGTGCTATAAATTTACCTGTAATTACATTGCCTCGTCCTGTGTCATTGAAGTGCTCTGTTTGCCTCTGCGTTACTTGTCATTTTGCCTCTACAGTGCTGAAGAATGCAGGCAAGTGTAATCAGGAACTGGCAGTATTTTTCAAACACACTGAAATCTCATATTCAATTACTCTCAGTGCATCATTTGGTCACAGTCGGTAGCATTTATGGGAGAGTGAATTAATATAACATTGCATTAGAAAAATGTGCAGTCACACACAACATACTGGAGATTGTTGCCAGGATAAACAGACGGCAGTTTAGCATTTACATTAGAGGAGATTTAGCAACTGATTAAACTTAAAGGAACAGTTTGAAATTTTGGAAAACGTATCCACATTCTCACCGAGTTAGGAGAGAAGACTGATCCCACTCTCTTGAAAGTCAGGTAAGTATGAAGCTGGAGTGAGAGTGGTATCTATCTATATATCTATCCATATATCTGCATAGTTCTATGGGAGGGGATGGGAGGGCCACTGTTTGAAGTTTCTCTCGTTCTCTTTAGTATTGTTGGAGTTCAAACTATATTGTTTTTCTGCTTGAGTAAAACTATTGGTGCAAGCATTAGATCATCAGCAGTGTGTCTCTGACATGTAGTGAACAATATACAGTATTTTGCTGCTAAACTGAAAGAAGAGAAACTCGAAGAGTGACCCAGTTTGGCTCCAAAATTGCACTCAGCCCAACAATAGAACACATTCCTCTATGGAAATTAAGCAGATTATTATTAATCTATTGTGATATTATTTGTATTATTTGTAAAACATTACTAATCACAATACTGTAAAATCAGCTACCTCTATGAAACAAGAACATCAACAGCTCTGAAAATAGAAAAAGACACACTCACTCTACTAAACTCACAACTGTTCTCAATGTTCTCAATATATAAAGTAAATAAAGTGAATTTCACCCTCTCGAGGACCAAAGATCTCTGGATGGAATGTAAAAGAGAAACACTGGCCAAAGAAAATGAAGACTCAGCTGAGCTCTAAAGAGTTAGTGCTTGAGTTTATGGCTTTAGTTTTATCTTATTCATTTATCTTGTAGGCATACATGTATACACATGTTGTACTGTATAATAAACACAGTAAAAGAGACATATTGGTGAAGCGTTTCAGGTCATTTAAACAGATGTGAAAAATAAAAGTTTGCAAGTAAAGAAAGAAAAAATTAAGGATCCCAAGTCATTTGTGTTCACTGGAATGGGATTATTCATCTTTCAGCCTCTGGAAATGCATTTTATGATCCAGCAGACTCCATCTAACAGACCTCAACAGAAGATATAAGTAAAATATTGGCCTTCAGATAAGTGTTGTAGCAGAAAATATGGCAGGTAAGTGATATCAAAGAAAACTTTTGATCACAGGGAATTAGACAGCAAGCATGCGGCTACGTTTTCATCCTATATGAACTCACACAGTACTGGACAACACACTTGCTTAAGAATCTCAGGCGTGGAAAGGTTCTTATTAGCAATAGTACTCTAATAATTCTATGACATTCTCTCCAGTGACCCTAATGGAAAATAAATACATATTTGTTTCATTTAGAAAATATACAGTGCATCTTTTTTCCCTTCATTGTGTTATTAAAATGACAAATGACACCCATTTACGTACACGAGATATTTTTGTTTTGTGTCTAAAACATGCTCTTATGTACAGTATTTTGTATAAACATGCAGTAGCAACGTGTATGAACTATGTATATAGGCAAAACTACACACCAATGGGTTGCTTCCATGTTGCCTCTTCTTTAGTGTTGCTTCATCAACAGAATAAAAAAAGATTATGTGTAGTGAAAAACAGAAATCTGAACATGGTCTACGTTTGTTAGAAAACAGAGTTATAATCTCCAACAGAGAGAAAGATATAAGAGCGAACATTCCTTACATTCCATAAAGGTTGTGTTACTGTTTAAAAGGTTGTGTGTATGTGAATTACATTGACTTTGCATTGTTTGTACACAGATATTGGGTATGTTTTGCTGTTGGTGTTCCCACAGAGCAGGGCTTTCAATTAATAACTAGACCTGCAAGCAGGTATAACAGGGTCCACACACCCTGGAGAATATAAGGGCTTTAAAGCTACACTATGTAACTCTTTTAAAACATTTTGGTTGTAGAAATATTCTTCAAAACTTCTGTTAATGTGGAGAGGTGCTGTCAAAGCCTCCTGTGACCCAGACTCATTGAACAGCAGTGCAGAGATATTAGCTTTTAAAAGGTTTTGAGCAGGGCTGACCTCTCTACCCATTCAGAGATTTTCAGTTATTTCTCCCTGATCAGTGAGTTTTGTTGCATTCTCATTTCTTCTAATATCACAATGACAAACATCTGAAGAGCTGGAGTATTCATTTACATATGCATTGAATCAATTACAGTCTGTGAAGGAGCCAGGGAGCAGCATTAGAATGAAATATGTCTCTTTTCTTATCAGACAAATCCATTTATATGAGGAGACCTGTCTGGTGTGCCACGGGAAATATTCAATCTCACAACATTTTATCACAAAAAATAAGCCTACATGGGTCAACGTTTATAATACCCATTAGTGCCATTAGTGCAATTAAATTCAACAGTTTGGTAAGCTGTGTATAAAATACACATGGATCAGTGCCTTCTTTCAGACCACGTACTTTCAGTCAAGTGAGGAACGTAATTTTCAAACAATCAAAATATCTACACAAAAAGCTTAAGCAAAACAAAACAACAATAAACAGCTTACATGATGCACTTCCTTGCTCTTTTCTGTTTTTTGTTTTTTTTTTTAAACCAGCAGATATTCTTAATATAAATAATTAAAGCTCAGATTTCTGAGGGTACTTAAATGCAACATTTGAATCTAAGGTGCTTTAAGAATAAAAGTGTTTGATGATAAATAAAATAAGATAAAGTACAACTGGATAAATAAAATAAATAAAAGGAAAAGAGAAGAAAGAAAGAAATTAAGCGAACAACACCGCTGACTGGAAGGCGTCCCTGGTAGTTGAAAATTGCTTATTTTGTTACTTGGAAGGCTTGTCTCCTTTATGACTGTAAGACGGTTACAGGGATTCCTCTGAAGTAAAACCCTTGTGTCAAGTCCATGACTAATGGCAGTAGCACTGAACAAGTGGGATACAGAATCAGAGGTGTTGAGAGGGGAGGTGGTACACTGCAGGCAGTAAGTGACACCTTGAAAATATCATGTCATTGGTAGTTGGAATCAGTCTCTGTTGTACCCGTTCTGATATTTCCTTGCTTTTTGCTGTTCAGATGACCGATGCAACCTTTTTTGCACAGTCAAAGATACACAAATACTCTTTTTTGTTTACTGAAAATTCATCAACATCTCCTCTGACATATCATTTCATGGATATACTAACACTAGGCGTGAGGCTTATGTCACTGAAAGAAAACAAACGGTCAAACTTTTGAAGCCAACAAGTGGGGTATTTCAATAATAACAACCCGTTTAGGAAAAAAGTCATGGAGTTTCAGTTTCCTCTCAGTTTTCCTGAGACGAAGGGTGGAAGATGAACTAATCAAAAAGGCAGTGTGTTTGTGGGTAACCCGATATATGTCTATCCCTAATTGCTACCCAACTCTAGGAATGTACATTAAACTAACAGAATCATCTAATATGGCAGGTGTGGAACATGGTGCACAATACACCTAAGGAATGGTCCTGCTTGTGTTATTTCTCTATCATATGGCAGTATAAAGCATTTTATTATTAAGCACTATTCCAAGCAAACTGTGTCACTAAAGGGAAGGGGTGAGAAGTACAATATGAGTGGACATGTTTTGCCTCTATCACCAGGTTCCCATATAGCACTCTTACTGTTCTTCATAGTCTGCTTTGTATTCCTATCAATGGAACCAGGACCTCAATACAAAAATAGATCTAAAGGAAATCAACAGAGTATCTGTCCATCCTGTATCTTGTCTTCTCTTTTCAATGACATGATTTAATATAACATGATGCTTTTTGAACTATATTTCCCATCATGTCAAATGGTATCTATGGATCTTTTCAAATGTGGCAGGAGGGGGTGGAGGGAGCAGATGTGCAGTCAGGGTGTTCTTCTGGGATATACACTAGGACCTTGGAAAATGGTGGGAAATGCATGGGTAGGTAGGTGGAGTTGGGGATGATGTGGGACTTTACTTCTTGGCAGTCAGGGCTGCGAGGGCGGCGTCTACCTCCTCCTCTGGCTGCAGTGGATGCCACTGGGCAATGGGGCGACGAGGGTTGGCCAGCATGTCAGACCAGTGTTTAAGCCCAGCCCCTGTGGACTTGCTTCCTACCCAAATTTTTCCAATGGCATCATTCTTGCCAATCTTGTCATAATCCAGCACTGTGATCACAGCCTGGATTTTCTGAGAATGGAGAGAAAGCATTACAATGGGGGTTGAGATATCCAAGGAGATTTCATGGATATCAGGGTATCAGTACTTTTGTGTTTTAGCTTTTTTGGAGTACATTCTAAAATCAGGAACTTTGCTTTTATTCTAAAACAAAGTTTGTTAATACTGTTTATGGTTGGCATTACAGCAAGAATCACTAAACGTACCCTTATACCGTAGCCTGTTAGTGATGAAGTTCTCAAAATTTGACAGTACTGTCCATCATAGTTTGCTGACATTAACCACTATAAGCTACTGCTCATACCACACCAAAAAAGGCTGCAGCAGCAAAACCCAGACAGCATTTTACTGAGCAGGGGTGTATTATATAGCTTGAGAATATAACTGGAAGAATGTGTTAGGTCTGATTTACTCCTTCAAAAGTTACAGTCTCTCTTTACGACCATACATGAAAATGGTGTGATCACACCCAAGAGCTGAAGACTGGTTATACTGTCATAGAATGCATTTTCCCAATTAGAAGGTGATGATGTGACATTTGGTCACAAGTTGCCCACATATACAGATGTGTTCACATCCTCACATTTACCTGAAAAGACCTTCTGTGGTCTAAACATGGTTAGTCACTTACTCATAAAATAAAATAAAAACTGGGAACAAAACTGCAGGGTTTGGGTACTTTGCATGTGTCTGCCTGATACTTTGTTGGTTAGGACACACTGATATTGAACTACTTTTACTCAGACACAGTATTTTTTTAACACCATTCTCTCTTTGTTACAACACTTCTACATCTGTAGGATACTGTGGACCTCCTGCCCCTAACAGACCTTGAAGGGTTTTAAAAATTGAAATTCATGTCCTTACCTGCATTTGTTCAAGAGGAATCTCAAAGCTGAAAGACTCATTGTAGTAAGGATTCAAAGTGTTCTTCTTCACAGTTGTCTTCTTCTTCTTCAGCCTCTTTCCGTTCTGCAGCAGGTTAATTTTCACATAGGGATCTGAAAAATGAAAGGGCAAAAACCACGATAAACTGATTTAAAAAATGCCCTGCAAATGCATGTTTGTGTTGTGATGCTGTAATGCACCAACAGATGGGGCCAATGCTGAAGCCATGGGGGAGTGAAAGCTGCTGCATGATGAGTACTGCAGCGTCAGCACGTGAGCAGAGTAGGACAGAGCTAATGGCTGTGCTCACAGGCACGCTCCTTTAGACAGTGCAGTCCCACTACAAGAATCCAAATTGTGTCAAGTATGATAATGTGATAATGACAGGCAACATTTGATGCTCTGCTTTGTGTATGCAGTACCTGACAGTCCACCCACGTCCATTTTCTTCAGGTTCTTGGCTTCTAGGATACAGATGGTGAGTTTCCCAGCAGTAGGGACATAACGCAGAGAGATGCAAATGTCACCCAGCTTCTCTGGCTGTGTGGAGGAGGGAAGGAGAGAGAAAGCTAAAGGATGTATGATGAATACATAGATACACAAACTATCCCCTTTAAACAACATTTTAAATAAACACCATAAATATCAATCATTCCTGCCGGCATTAAGTTGATCTAGCTGGTCTTTCCAAGATTAATTAAAAATATGTCAGTCAGCATGCAGAATAAACTGCAGCGTGAGAATTTGTTCTCAAAAAGGCTCTGGGGAGGGAGCAGATCCATTAATTAAAATCTATTTTTCATATTGTGGTGCAGCATAACGGTGACATGCACCACACATTACACATTACACATTACTGGGTGTTTGAATACAGAGGAAGCAGTGCAGTTGGTCAGAAAACATAAACCATGTTCTTCACCCCTTTTGAACCTCACTGGCAAGCAGACAAAGTCACCACCTTATGCTCATGGTTATTTTTGTACTGTCATCAGACAAGTCAGCTTGTCTCCAGTGGCTCTTATGGAAGGAAGTGGTTTTGCTTTTATTACTGGCAGCTTGTTGACAGTCTGACTGAATGTAGTTTGGTATGTTTAAGACCTTTTTAACAGCTGGCATTATGATCACAGTTTGGATGTACAATTAAATGACTTCCACAGCAAAAGTAGCTATTAAAGTGAAATCTCCCAGAACAATCTGATCAGTTGACACTGGATTATTACAGATATAACAGCATTGGTATATGTATATGCCGGCTGACAAGCAACAATACATTTCAGAACAGAAATGGCACAGATAGGCTAGCGGTAATACAGACAAATGGAGGAGAACAATGAAAAGGTCAGTGTGTTTTCTTTCAGTACACCACTACTACAGAATGACAATCAGGATCTTACAGCCTCAGTTTTATCCTAAGACTTTCTTATAACTGTATTTAATTCCAGCAAAAATGCACGTGCATGTGTGTACATGTCTTGGTGTTTGAATAAATGTACCATGTACGTTTATGCCACCACATACATTTTGTATGTTTATGGTATATTTTATATTGCTTTTTGCTCTGTTTCACTGATGTTTTCACTTTCATTATTTAATTGCCTTGTGCCTGCCCATTGCAAAGCACTTTGTAATTGCTGATTACATGTTGATTTTCTAAACAAATCAACATGATTAAACATTTATCTTTTAACTATAAACCACAAACTTTGATCACAGTTCTTAAACAACTAAAGTCAAGTGACCCATATCAATCTTCATTGTGCATTTAAGTTAAAAATCATGTACAGGCTAAAGATTCTTATATTCTCAAATAGTGCACATTCTAAAACTCAAATAATGATATCAGTAATGAAAAAAACACACATTAGTGGAAGTTATGTGCATAAATATACTGAGGAGTAACTCTGCAGAGTAGTAAAAGTAGTCATGCTCTCATTACCTCTTCTTGATCTGCGCTGTCCAGATCTCTCCACTCCTCTATTGGCTTAGCCAGGTCAAGTGTGTTCATGGGTATTTTAATCTCGCCAATGACATCATGTTTAGAGAAGCGATCAAAGTCATAGACGGACATTACCAGAGTCTTCCCACCCATCTCTTGGAATGGAATCTGGAAGACAGCAGCCAAACATATGTTATGTGTTATAATAGTCAGAAGGATTCTGACATTTATTTAGCACTTTTCACACATTTTTAACACTTTCTAACAAATATGTGTATAAATCAGCCTGATCAGAACTGTACAGCAGTTTGGGCTGTGACTTTGTCCTGGAGATCAAAAACATCTAACTTAAAAAGATGTTGCTTCCCCACAACTGGCCTGACGTTGACAAGGTAAAGCTGTCTGAAATATTTTATAGAGCTATGTCAGCAAGCAACGTGCACTAGCTCTTGTTCAATCTGATCCTCTACCACATTCTCTTTGACAGACACCTTTGGTATGTCTGCAGCATTTTATCACCTCTAGCCAGAAGTGTTAGTGAAGAAGAAATCAGAACTGAAGCATCTGCTGAGCTCTAACAAAAAGGGAGAAAAAGGGAGGAGCAGTTCACCTTTTACAAAATCTATCAAACAGCTTGACGAATGTGTTGTTTTAATAATTAATAAGTAAAGGGTGACCACGAGGTGTTTCTGCTTACCTTGAAGGTAAAGGTCTCATTGAAGACAGGATTGAGTGTTTTCTTGTGAACCTTTGTGTCAAATTTCTTCTTCTTGTCAGGGAGTACATACACCTTGACATAGGGATCAGAAGTGCCACCGCTGTCCATGGAGAGGAGATCAGCTGCTTGCAGGATTCCCACAGTCAGCTGGGGAGGTAGGAGGGAAGGGATAAGAATTCTCTTCTTCAACCCACACCTAAAACATCCCTCACAATACTCCTGATTCTGCTTTCTTTTTTGAATAATCAACAAAGAGTTCACTCAAAGGAAATTGCATGTGATGCTTAAACAAAAGGCTCATCATTTGACAAGAATATGTCAAATAAGATAGACAAGTTCTTGCCTTGTTCTCCTGGAAATCGTAATCAATGGAATACTGCAGCTTCCCAAGCTTTTCTTTCTCCTTCACTTCTTCCTCTTTCTCTTCCCCAATCAGTCCAGGTTCAACATCATCTTCTTCGTCATCATCGTCCTGTGGTTTCTGCAAAGACAGAAAAGGGGCGGGTGGCAAAAGGAAGAGTGAGAGGTTGACTCTGAGGTAGGGGCTGTGCGAACACCCAACCTCAGGTTAGTTGCAGCACCTACCTGCCACTTACCCCTGCTCACCCTGATGTTACTAGTGCAATCTGTTCATCGATGACCACGGTTGCAACCTGACTTGATTTCACTGTTTCTTGGGTGACACCATTTGCTGTTTTATTTATTTTTAAAATCTGATAAGATCAGACACAGGAGATTTTCTCCTGGGCTACAAATTGTTGTAAATAAGCTATTTTAATAGATTTATATGTGCAACAAGTGGCGAGAGATAGAGAAAGAGTGATAAAAAGACAGAAAGAACAGAATAATAAAAACAGTCAATGTACAGTACAGGGGGTGAACAGAAAAAAAATAGGAACACCTTATATTAAAATACCATCTAGTAGAACAGCACTGCAAAGACATCTGGAAGGTCTCGTTTTTCAATTATAAAAACTCGGACCATCAAGCCTTTATTACTGGGAATTGGTTTTCACATTAATATGACTCACTTCTGCCGCTGCCATTAATTGTGATTTTGCAGGCTGTGGACAAAATAACAGTAATATGACAGCAAACGGGAAACTTTGGATGAACTGCATCGAAGTTACACAGGCAGCCAAACAAATGCCAGATATGACTCATTCCAGCGGACTCACATTAAGTCTTCACCAAAGTCTCAAAAATTGTTTCAATGTACTGCACACAGTAGAAAGTTGCACCAGCAAAGATGAGCCAAAGTCAAAGTTACACAGGCTGAAGGATATTATGGTGCCACAAAGTACACTTAAAAATTGATTTTTTGCAGAGCTATATCATCACATGTTCTGGTTATTTTGTCCACCTCATTTACAGTATATTTCTAATACAAGCTGTCACAAAAAGCAGAATGTCCTTAGTGAGAATCTGAAGGACACAGCTCTGAGAAGATGTGATGTGCCCCAGCTGTTGACGCAGTGATTCCTGACACTTTTCACAAAAAGCTTATAAACCTGCTAAAACCTCGGGCAAATATCCTCTGATAACAGAGTCTGTGCCAACCGACAGTGTAAGGTTTACTTCAAGCTAGACAATATATCTGTTTGCCATTTATCTCCTCCTGACACCCCAAAGTCTCATTAATGTGTTTACACTGATAGAATTTTGCTGCAATTACTGTACCATGGCCTGTTTATTGCAGCTCAGTGAATTACTGAAAGATTTCACAATTTATTTACAAACAGAGTCCAGGTGTTCCAGTTGATACTAAATGATTGTGCCTCTTGAACATATGCTAGAACAAAATTTAGCAGTTTACTGACATTGAGATAATCAGGGCATGATTATAAATCAAGCCCTCTGTCCATCTTGTCCATCATCCATCTTGCCTTTAGAGTCACACCCAGTCACTTTTCAGTCTGTCACCTGTTTAGAGGGAAACATGACTAATCAAGTGAGAGCAATTAGCTCTCATATTAAAATGAAAGTAAACTTTCATTTTGGACACTGTATTAAGCTGGATAATATCTCAGCACGGCCTACTTTCCAATGGCTGTCTCCTTGAAAATACAATGATGTCTTCATATGACGTGAGGGTTCAACAATTCACTGATGAGCTAGAAAAGGAACAGGGCATGCACGCAGATAATACACACACACACCATACACTACTGTACACCCCCAAACACACGCTCACTCACACACTCATCTGCTTACATGCAGCTTCTCACACATGCTTTATAACTCACTGTCTCACGCACATTCTCACACATTATCCTTACATATGACATTCTCTGTCTTTATTGTGGTAAATGCTTTTCATCCAAGCATGCCAGGGCACACAATGCAGGATCCAAGTTTCTCTTTGATGGCATATGTAGATGATTTACCTTAGAATTTCTGAAGATGGGTAAAAATAATGTATGGCTTTTTAAAACCTCTGTGACAATTTCTTTTTTTATACCCAAAAACATCTGTACATAGGTTCTGAGTGAAATGTACACATCCATGGATCATGCTATATTGAGACTTTCCAGCTCTTTCACACTTCCTGTGGGGGTTCAAAGGTAAAGACATGGTATGTCTGAATGAATGCCCTTTGGTCAGCTCCATGGGGTAAACTCAGAACTGAGGTTTTATTGAATGAATTATCTGTTAAAACAGTTAGTTGACAGTAGCTTTAACTTTGGATCGACTGAAACCGGCTGATTGCAAATATGGGCAAACATTCTGGCCCACCATTTCTCATCAGTGAGACCCAAGTGCTTCAGGGAGAGAGGAAGCATTGTCAACGAGTGTCACCTAGAATGTCAGCAGCATGGGTCATCCAGGAAAGTTACTCTCAAGTCAAGTTGTGGCCATTCAATGATACCTACTGCAAGGGCATATGCTGGTTTTTGTCAAGAGGCACAGCTTTATCTGTTGTGGAACTCAGAGTGTTTTTGCACAGGTGGAGCACTGCGTGTGAATTTCTGACCGAAGTCAATATACCTCTGAAGAGGAATCGTTTGTACAATGTCAGTTTTTGGTTGTGTTGCACAGTCGAAGCCTGTGGTGGTGGAAACATGCTCAAAGCTGTCAGCTGGGTTGAGCTTCAGCTATTATTTGACAAATATCCAGCTTACTCCTTGCACATGCATGTTAGTGGTCTGTAGTGAGTTGCTGAATGCACTCGTCATTCAAAAGCTCAACCATAGGATGAGTTTCATGTTCATCTCAAACCATAGACACTTTAACAGGTCTCTGTTCTGTTGTTTCTGCCAAAATTGCAATCTTTGGATAATCAAGACATAGCAGTTGGTGCGGCATATCAGTTCAGTGGATTTTGCGAAGCAACTTAATCGCTCCCATGGATTCCTCAAGCACCCGCAGCACCTAAGCTTGCAAAAAACTAAGAAAGCCATAGCACTCATTGTCATCATCACTGCAATCCAACCCCTCCAGCCCAGCCCACCCCTACCAAAGCTCACTCCCTGCCCTGGTCTGCGCTTACACAGAGTGGCCAGAGAGGGGCGCCGCGTGCTATCAGACCTACCGTAGGCAGAGAAGTCCACCACAGTCAAGATACACGGAGCACACATAAGACACAAAGCAGGAAGGAGGAGAGCAGAGACAAAGGAAGAGATTGAACTCACAGCAAACACTAAAGAAGGGTATTCACAGCAAATGCAGTCAGCTACACTGCAGGGAGAGAGGAAAATGACAGGTAGCAAGGCCTCCTCATTAGCACAGTGATATCTTGTGCAGCACGGCTGTTGGGTTTTAAAATAACTCCACTTTTAGATGCCTTCTTATTGTACTGTGTCAAGGCATCAATCATAAGTGTGAAAAAATAATAATTACAGGTCCAAAACAGCTTTGTGCTAACTACTAATTTTCATATTTATTCTAATGACTGTTAAAAACACAATGGTTGGGCTGAATAGATAAGAATCCTGTCATTTACCACTCACATCCCAAAGCACAAGTGAAACAAAGAGCAACAATAACAGTCATGACAAATACACTGAATAAAAAAGAAGGAAAAAAAATAGAACAAATAATCATGATGGGTACAGAATATAATTAACCCCTGGAGAGAATATACTTGTCCTGGTTAGAAAGCCATGAAAATTAAACAGTGTCAATGATATGTAATCTAATACATTTTAAACAGGACACACATTTTTATGTTAGCTGACTAAAGAACATGAGGACTTCTGATCAAAATTTGTTACAACTTATTAGGAATGCCAAACTTATCTTTACATGCATGTTTTCCGGTACAAAGTTATGTTGTAAGCCCCACAGCTGTTAAATACTACTTGCCTTGCTTTGTATACAGTGTAGGTTTAAATTCCCTACCTCTCCCCCTTTCAGGTTCTTCATTCCCATGTCACCCTTCCCCTTCTTGCCCTTCTTGTTCTTCTTCTTCTTGCAACAGCATTTCTTGATGATGCAGAAGCAGCATGTTAGAATAAGTAAAGCAGCAACAATAGCAATGGCAATGATGGCCCAGGATGGCACTGTGGAGGAAAAAAGAGACCAAAATATACCGTAGAACGTAAATCCACACAGAACGAGAAACAGCAAATACTTTGACATTTGACCAACAAATCATTTCGCCTACTCCACGTCATGTCCTGAGCCAAGTATATTTAGTAAGAGGTGTTAGGGTTAGCAATTAGATTGGGTGAAAATGTGATTTCTCTGCCATTAAGAAAGGCAGCCAGCGATCGATAGTAAATAAAGACATTACGAGGCAGCTGCTGCCTGCAGCAAAGTTGAATTACAAGATCACTGCTTAAAGTCACATTAATTTGAACTGGTTGATCAGGACAGGTTTGGGTTCTGTCTGGCACTCACGTGGGATCTTGTCGATTTGATTGAGGAACTTGTTTTTGATTTGATCAAAGGCATCGTTCTTGTTGACTGGTACAGTGGAGTTGTCAGCAGAACCTAATGAGACAGGGGATGGAGTCACAGTCAAGGCACTGGCCCCTGTTGGCTTAGCAGCGACCATGGGCGTTGTCTGTTGCTTGAATAAGTTCCACGTCTTCATTTAGGCTGCACGCGCAGTCCCTGAAAGACAGCATGAAAACACTGTCATTACGAGGTGCCAGTGCTCTGGTACATGTAAGAGTATCCAGCCACCAGGGAACCATTTTCAACTTGCAAGTCATATTCCAAATATGTGCCAGCACACTGTCAAAACTCACAGGCAGATATTGACAGTTACTCATTAAAGGGTAGAGTCATATGGCCAATTTTATTCCCCTCAGAGACACCTAAAAAAAAAGACTCATAGGCCAAAACAATAAATGAATAAATGTAATAATATGCAAGTCTGCCGTTTATATCAACGCATGAAGTTACCACAAAACAATGTGGAGAAGAAATGATTTGTGGCAGTTAAACCTAATGCTTAAACAGATGGATAATGTTTGGAGCATTACATGTTAACAGAATTGCTTGAAGACTTGCATCCAAATCAAATACCAAGCACAGACAATCAACTTTCTAAAATTCTTCTTAAAAAGGAGGTCAAAAGGTGGTTGTTGGTCAGGTTGCAGGGAGGGTCCATTCATACAAGATTGGTGGTTTGATCCCTGACTCCTTCTGTCTACATGTCCAAGTGTTATTTAGAAAAACACTGCACCCCAACTTGCTCTTTGTAAATTTGTATAAATGGGAAAGTAACTCAAAGTGTCTTGGGACAAAATAATCTGTCAAATTAATGAAATGTAACTTGAGAACAATGACACAACATACACATCATGGTGGACAGGAAACAGATTATTAATGTATAAAGTCCACCAGCTGTAACATCAAAAACAATTTCAGCCTTTGCAGTTTTATGTTTTCAGCCCCAATATGTCTTCAAAAAGTGCAAAACATGCATCTGCCACAAGAGCAAACACAGTCAAAAAACTTTAAATAGTTTTGCTAGAATTGCCCTGAATGCAATTGGAGCTCCATGCATGTAAACACTAGCGAATTCCATGTTAATTAGTTCAGCTTTATTATTCAGGAACATTATAAATGAAAAAAGAGAGAAAAATCTTCTACAAGAGAGATTTGTAAAATAAATGTAACAGCAACTAGTCTTACTTAAACTGTGGAGAAAGAGAACAATATGATCTGTAAAAAGCAGGCTATTTCCCATCTACAAGGTTTACAGTTACCTCCAAAGATTGGTTTCAAATAATTTACATTTAAAGTTCAGATGATTTCTTGACCATGCCAGTACAGTATATCCCTGTAAACAACAAAGATAACTAGAAGCACATTGCTTGCAAAAAATCTCTCAAGATCTATTGAAGCTTCTGACGAGCATGAGTATCAGAAGATAGACAGAAGCTACTCTGACTATAACATGACCGAAGGCAGTCACCTATAATAAAGCAAAAATGATAAAATTGCTGCTTTTTTGTCATATATGAGAGTAAATGTTGGTCAAATAAAACAGGCAATGGGAAAATATCACCCTGTGTTTGTGCACACCCTGTATGGATGTGATTATATGAAAGGTCACTTCATGTGTCTGATATATTGTCTACATTATGTTTAAACATTTAACTTATTTATCCAAATCTGAAATGTCAGAAGGTGACAAACAATTACTGCTAGGTTTCTGAAACATAAGATGAGGCTCTTCTTCTGTGATTTGGCCTGAACCTTTTAGCTTTGTTTTAGTTTTTTGTTCAACCCATTTCCTCTGAGGTGGCGCAACAAAATTTATTTTATAAAATGATTGATTGTGGCAGCCTACACCACAGTGTTCCTAACATGTTTTACACGGTGGTGAAGTCAGTGGACAATGATTTGAGATTACTTATCGACAATAACCATCAATCCTCAATTTATCACAGTGTTTTGTCAGGCTGCTACTCTGTACCTGAACCGGCAGTGCCAGAGCAAGAAAGGTGTTTACCCATACACGAACCATTCTCTGGTGGTGTTTCCACAGGCCAAACAAATGTTCAGTGAGAGCTCTTATCAGTTCCAGAAATCACAGTGTGACAAGCGCAGCTGAAAGCAGTCAGAGTGATGAGTGGTCGAGAGAAACCTCGATTCGGAAAGCAGAGAAAGAGATGGCAATCATAACAAGAGGAGACCGCTGTTGTTGATTTTTATTAGAATCATGGTGATACGGGTACAAATAGAAGAATTTCCCATATCTCAAGTGCCAATTCTCAGCAGTTCTCTCAAGCTGATGCCAGAAATTCTGTTTCTATTTATTGCCACATATAAATTATTCAAATTAAAGCTGACAGTGGGAAGGATAAAGCTTATACTATTCAGCAGCTAGAACCGGTTTATATATCTTAAAATATACAGTATGTGTCTAAAATATATTGTGTTGCTGTTATGTAGGCTGATGTTTTAAACAACTAACATCTTCTGATAATATACAAAGATGGGAACCAAACTACTGTACATGCAATGTTTAATTACATCACATACTGAAAAATGATTGTGCTGCTCAATAGAACAGTTACAGGCCTTACTGTCTCCACTGTGTACTAAACATTACTGTAGTACGGTGACAATGTTAAAAGCATTCGCTCACATCTGAGGTCTATATGCATCTTATCCTGTTTGTTCCTCACATCAGGCCAAGCCATACCAATTAAACTATTCTTTTAATTTCTATGTAAGCATAATAAGATTTTCTAATTAGCAGTAAACACAAAGTGCAGCAGAGGCTGGTGTTAATGTCATCAGTTTTACAGGTATGTGGTCATAAAACCAAAGTATTTAATTTATAGACATTTCATTTTTGAATTGATCATGACATTAGAGGAAAAATTAATAGGTTACCAGTTGCTACAATTCATTCTGAGGCAAACACGAATGTCTACAGCGAAATTCACAGCAATCCAAGCTGTCACTCAATATCACAGATGTCAACATCGCAGTGGCCCTAGACAGTCACAGAATCACAGATTCATCTCTGGCCGTCTGTACAAAATGTATCAGCAATCCATCAAATAGTTGTTATTTCAGCCAAAGTGATAAACTGACCGACCAACATTACTGTCGCTACAGTCACGTCGCCCGTGTGGCTAAAAATCAGAGGGTCCTAAACTATGCATACTCTGTATGACGTACAAAAGATACATCGACTGTTTCCACATGCTCTCACCCTTCATCTGCTCCAGTGGAGCCACACAGTAGCTAACAGATCAGATGGTGGCTGCACTGGGCAGCTTTCAGGTGTGAATGCGTGTAACTGTGTGAGTGTGAAGCAGAGCATTCATTCCTGGATTAATTAGAGTTAAAAACAGAGCTCTTATTTATATGCATTTCATATAAAGTTTGTTTACTGAGATCTGGGGAAATTTTGAGTTCCATTTCCCAATATGCATCTCATTTTATTATTAATCTGAGTCATGAGAATTTGTTAAAACAAAATGGCTTAGCTCCACGGCCCACAGCAGTGCAGCTACAGGCACGAGCTTAACACTGAACAGACTGCTTTGGGAATCAAGCGCTTCCATCTTTGGCTTTACTAGATATATAGGTCATAAATGGGTTTTATGGGGGAGCCTATAAAATCACAACCTAGTTTCATTTTATTTAAACCATTTAATGTAATGTAAAACCATGTAATGAGAGAGTTTTATATTATGAAGGCAATTCATCTGCCATTATCCTGGTGCACTGCAGTGTGCCTACAGTGTTGTCTGTCTGCTGCCTCTTAAAGAGGCCCCTGACCTTTTGCATTACTGTATTTTATTTTTAATACATTTACAAAACACTCCAAAAACCTATTTCCACTTTAACATTGTGGAGCATTGTGTGTAGATTAATGAGGAAAAAACTGAACAGTCCATTTTAAGATGTGTCTGAAACATAACAAAATGTGGAAAACTAGACAGATAGATAGAACTTCGCTAAGAAAAACACTGACTCAGTCTAACCAGAATCAGAAAAACCTTGTTCATCACAACACAAAATGGCTTACTGCTAATATTAGAGACACCCCCAAGAACGGCCAAATTTGTCCCTTAGCTAATTCTTCAAACACTTCCTACAACCTGAGAGAACATATAGGTCAATAGTCCCTACCCTCTGATATGACCCACAGGAGGTAAATGTTTGGTTAGATTTAGGCATAAAGACAATCTGATTAGGTTTATGGAAAGGTCACAGCTTGGGTTGAAATCAATGCTTCATTAAGGTTAGAGGACCTTTGTTGTCATGGTTACAATAATTACATACACCATTAGGGTTATGGAATGTTGGTCATCCTGGCTAAATGGAACAACACTGACATTCAATTTCAAATGGGAAACAAACAGCAGTCTCCCGTGTTGTGTTGAACTATTCAGCCACCCTGACTTCCCCCATACACACAATCCTCCGTGCTCTATATCAGCAACACCTGACTTCCTCCTTTGCTCCTACAAGGCTCTGTCACTTGAACGTAAACATCACTTTGGGTATTTGCTAAAAAGACTGATGCTGGCTCACATGATGAGACAACATCAGTCACTAAGCAATAAAACCTAGCTACAGATCATAATAGGCTGTTTGCATAAATGACCCATGGGATTATATTTTATGGGAGAACAGTCTCACATCTCCTTATCTACACCTTCTCCTTTATGATTTGTAGAATAGATTTAGTAAAATAAATCAGTGAGATGATAACTTTTACCTCAGTTCATGTTTACCAGCATGTTTGTACTGCTTTGATATGAGTCCTTTGTATTACAGCATAGTTTTCTATTTTTTGTGTCTGCCTTTATTACAAAGAGTAGAGAGATGACAGGAAATGAGGAAAAGAGACATGCAATAGTGGGTCCTATTGCTTGGGATTTTGTGGCTAATGGTTAGCATCTATAAAAAAAAAGATTATTAGGAGGAATTTTAAAAATTCTTATGCACATTACTGGATCATCACATCATATCTTGATACAATCAATATTAGAGAAAAATCTGAATCACTTAAAAACTCTTAAATATACCCACAGCTGTCAGCAGTATGGTATAACTACATCTCCTCATGCTCATTTTAACACATTAGGGAGCTTCAATTGTGTCTGCTAAGGGCTAATTAGCACACAGGTCAG